AGTGATGGCCAGAAGTTTTTCCCATGATCTGATCCTGTCTCTTATACACATCTAGATGTGTATAAGAGACAGGTGATCCATTGGTCATATGGGACACGGGACCTGGTTTCCAGCAGGTGGTCCATTGCTCATATGGGACACTGGGCCCGGTTTCCAGCAGGTGGTGCATTTGTCATAAGGGACACTGGACCTGGTTTCCAGCAGGTGTTGCTCCCCACCAATAGATTGGAGCAGCCGACGGGGGCCTCGATAGAGGGGGGTGCTCTTATCACCTCCGCTACTGGACGAAGACGGCTTAAACCACTAGTACCTTTGGATTAATTATTAAAAAAAAAAGAAGAAGAAGAGGAAAAAAGAGAAAAAAAAAAAAAAAAGGACAAAAACTGCTTTAATTCTGAATCTATTCACCTGGGTGGAATTGGGGCTGTTGCGGGGAAAATCTAAAACACACACACACACACACGTGTGAACAGCCTTGTACGTAAGGGGCACAGTAAAAGGGGAGATGCAAGAACAAATGGAAGGGGTACCCCAAGGACAACCAAAAAAACTGTCTAATTATAAAATTGCTTTCATATGTTGGACTGTCTCATCTGAAATGCTCTCGTTGTCTGCAATAGGACAAAGACTGCTTTGATTCTGAATCTATTCATCTGGGTGGAATTGGGGCTGTTGTGGGGAAACTCTATAACACGCAAATCCACACTTGCACACACAAACGCTCACACTCAGACTTGCACATAAAAATGCATGCACAGTATGTACTATATACCTGTTGTGTGATCCAGTTCTGCTGAGCAGCAGTGGCAGTGTCATTGGCCGTTTGTCGTAATAATTTAGTTCAAACTTCAAACTCCAAATGTCAATCTAGTTTTCATTTTCGAATTTTCACACTTTTGAGGTTAAACCGTTAAAGTACTTCCCCTCATATGGATTGTTTCCGACATTACCTTCCAAAACCAGCCACTTATCATCTGTTTTTTTTTTTTTTGAATAATAAAAGGGCCCAGTGCCCAAGGCTGATATTACCAATAAGAAGATTGAGGCCGGGGTCCTCACACAGGCTCACAGTCTACCCGGAGTGACCGAACCGAACAACCTGTCAAAGGGAGGATTAGGAGGAAGAGTACTTCCTGTATTGATCTCAAAGAACTGTTGTGGGTGGATCCATAGATTCCATATGTGTTGTCTAATCTTTTTCCCATCAGGAGCAACATTTCCCATGTATCATTTAGTTTACTTATTCTTTTTTTATGGTGGCGCGTGTTTGTTTTGGGGGGTGGGGGGTGGGGGGTGGGGGAGAGGGGAGGGAGGACACATTTTTGAATCTCACCAGGGTACAGTGAAGCAGACTCTGATGTTGGATGATTCTCTTGGTCATGCTACATACATGGATGTCTGTGAAGAATTCCTTGTTGCGGTAAGTCCGTTGTTGTCACCTTTGCTAAGCTTGGCGTCATTTGCAACTCGGCATGTCTTATTTTATTTTATTTTATTTTATTTTATACAAATAACAAGTGGTTTCCTGCGCTTGCTTCACTCCTGGTCGAGAGCGGGGGGGGGGGGGGGGGGGGGGGGGGAGAGGGAGGAGGGTGCAGAATGGGAGACGACTCCCTCTCTCTGTGTACGTAAGTTGACGTAGAGGTATATGTGTCTGCTATATCCAGCAATGTTTGGAACATTACATTTATATTCTATGGTTATTAATCAGTAATTAGTAATTTACTAATTACTAATTACACATATATTATGTATATCGTCAAACAGAACTGCCCGGTAAACCGTCGGCAAAGAGGGAGAAGAGGACAACAAACGAGGGGCTGTGACAAAGTTACAGTTTTGTCGGAGGTTCACCCACTCGTCAGGAGGCTATAATAACATCGAAAATGCGTGTATCAAAATTTCGAACTTGTTGACAATTCGTATATAATGTATGTAGTATGTACTATATATTTGACGGTATATATAAGAATGGTTGTTTATCCAGCGGCCTAGCTCAGTTGGTAAGGCACGCAAGTGGCATTCAGGAGGTCTTGGGTTCAATCCCCATTGGCCTCATGTACCTTCCTGGGCAAGCTTGGCGCCCGCCACCTAGAGATATGCCGTTGGTCCCCCCGAGTGGCATTGAGCAGAGACTGCTGATGTTCATAGGGGGAGGGGACCGGAGGGGAGGCACAGTGACTGGCCCATCGAAGAAGTTCGGTCCTGATGCTACCAGCTGACCCCTGGCCGGTATCGCCCACCTGCTGTAGCAGGTATCGCACCTGCTGGTGGGTTAAGCTCCCGGGTGTTCCCTCGTTGGGGGCTTGAGCACGGACTGTCTCTTATACACATCTAGATGTGTATAAGAGCTGACACCATAAGGACACAGTGACACACCTATGCCCTTGCAGACAAACACACTCACACACACATGTTGTTTGGTGTATCAAAATAATGTTTTCATTCCCCTTGGTTACCATCCAGATAGAAATGGTCGAAAGCCCTTTTGKGTCTCTCTCTCTCTCTCTCTCTCTCTCTCTCTCTCTCTCTCTCTCTCTCTCTCTCTCTCTCTCTCTCTCTCTCTCTCTCTCTCTCTCTCTCACACACACACATATACACACGAACACACAGAAAGATGCAATCGCATTATTTCTTTTTGTGTTTGCTTAGTTTTTTTTTTCGTTACTTCGTAACAGCTTTCATTTTTTTATTTTTATTTTTGGGTTTCTCAGTCGTTTTTTTGCTCTTTGAGCCAGCCGTTCTAAAAGCATCTTGTGTGACATGAAAATATTAGAAAGAGGCCTGTTTGGCCCACAACTCGGAGGCCTCCCATGCTCTGCTGTGGCTTCCCTGACCTTTCGAAATCACAGTGCGTATACGGCCGCGAGTTCCAGAGGAGGGGGCTGGGACTGGTGGTCTAAACCACTCAGATAATTTTCGATGTAATTTTTTCTGTCTCTTCACCCCCCTTTGGTGAAGTCAATTCCATTGGTGGGGAGCTGCGCCTTGTTGGAAAGCAGGTCGGTGAGTTACTGATGACCGACACCAGTCTCCCATAATCATAAAGGAAAGCTCGAAACCAGGTCCAGCATCCCAACATTAGGAAAAAGAACTGGAGACCGGGTCCAGCATCCCGTGGAGAGGGAAAGCATAAACAATGGCCTTGGTAATGTTTAATGGACTAGTCTAATCATCCAACTGCATGTATGTAAGTTGGTTTCCTGTGTGAGTTGATCTTCCTAGACTCCTTTGTTTCAACTTTTAACATGCATTTACTGGGCCTCAATTCACAGCATTCCCGCACAACCCTTCAAATGCATACCTAAGCTGACCTTGAAAAAAAGAAAGAAAAAGACATTCATTTACTTGGAATGATGATGTGTCTTGATATGGCAGTCAACCTCCAATTCCTTCATAAAGATCTGGAAGATAAGTGGTCGAGAGGCAAAGCCCCATGGTCCCGGCTCTGGCCGCAAGGTATATTTCAACACCTACACCCTTGCTCTTCTTAACATTTCAACGGCCTACGGAGTGTTTGTCGACATGTGTGCAGAACCGTTTCACGGCTTTCCCATTGGAGAGGGTGGGATGGAGGGTTTGGGGGAACTCCCTTCCCGCCGGGGTGTACTTTTGGTGGTGGGAATTGTACATCCCTGAGGGAGTTGGGGCGACCGTAAGGGGGTTTGTCCTGATCTGGGGCCGAGGAGGAGAAGGGGGCATCCCCTCGGCAGGGCCATTTTTGGGGCAAGGCGGGTGGTTTTTTCCTCGGGGTAAGGGCACGATCGTTGCGGCGGTGCGTTGAATCCTCCTAATCTTCTGTTGTTCTGACCCATTGCTGCAGAATAGTGCACCCCTCAATACTGCTCTCATCCCCCTGCGGCAATTGGTCAAAAACAACACAGGATAGGGCTCCGTCCTCCAAGGTGGGAGCCCCATCCTGCGGGAGTAGTATCTTGGAGAGAAGCGCTGCGTCTGGGGGGATGAGGGCAGTATCGAGGGGTGCACTATTCTGGGGACGGGGTCGACGGATAGCGTCGATCTTGGGCGGAGCCAGATAGTGGCACGGGGTTAGTCTCTCTCCACGGCGGAAGAGGTTGCATCCCTCTCCCATTCTTCTTTTGCCGCGGAGTGAGTGGGAGGTGGCTGGGCGGGTCCGGTATTTCTCATACCCTGTGAATTTTTGTAAAAGTCTCTTAAGCCACCAGTCCAGTACTTCCTAAAGTCGTGCCCGTTAACGCGGCATGATTTTAGGAAAAGTACGGGCCACTACAGGAGCACCCAAATTCATCCGGCTGGAAACGTTTCTAACTTTCTACCACGGCCGATTGCTGGGCCAAGTACTGGTGGTTTAAGTTTATTTAGTGGGAGTAATTGCTCATGAATTTTCTGAAATCTCTTGGAATTCTTCTGATTACTTCTAACCAGAGCCGGGGTATGGCCCCGGTACTTCAACTTGCTTCCTGTACTTCAACTTGCATCCGAAATGTGCATGTGTGTATGTTGTATTGCACACATTCAGCTGCCCTCTGGTCCATGCGTGCACGTTTCTGTGTGCGAGTATCAAGGACTGAAAATCCTTTTTTCAATTTGTCCGAACCCACTTCTAATTTCTAAACAGGCAACATAAATCTCCTGACAAAGAAACACAGACAACTTCGTCAACTTGCCGAGTAAGTTATACGTGTTTGGTTTGTTTGTGTATGAGTAGAAGAGTTGAGTTCCTTGGAAGTGTGATGCTAAGGAGATGCTGGGAGGAAGATGATAGCGCCATGATAATAAAGCTCATCTCATCTTCTTCTTCATTTTAATCCGATTTGTATATTTTTCTCCGGTGTGGATGGGTGGGGGGGTGGGGGGGGGGGGGGGGGGGGGGGGGGGGGGGGGGGGGGGGGGGGGGGGGCATTGCCCGTCTATGTGGGCATGGGCGTGGGCAATTATGTAGGTGCATGGAGTCCAACCCGTAGGGCCTAGGACCTGGTGGTTACGTCACCTTTATTTTTCTTTTTGGCAGACGAGAAGTCGAATCTGGGCTGCTGTTTCGATTTTGGCCTGCCGGCCGGACAGGTCTCTCCCAAAACCATCCCTTCCCCTTGTCGCGAGAGACCCGGTTTCTTCTTGAAGGCAGCAGGGATTAGAGATGAATATGAAGTATTATGAATTAATATGAACTTCATGAAGATCATAAAGGGTAGTACGAAAGTATTTCATAGCATGTTTCACCATTAGCAGGGGAGAATAGAGGGAAAACCAATCGATAGACTAGATTCGATAGTGCACTGGATAACTAGTGTCTTGTATGGCTTTTTGCTTGACAGGTGGAGATAGATGGAAAACCAATTGGTCCGATCAGATCGCTGAGGTGCAATTGTGATGGCACGAAGGCAAGTGCTTCGCTTTTTCCCTTTCCAATATATGTTATATGAGTACAGGTTCTCCCAACTTCTCCCTAACCTTGTAAGATTTGGCCAATTTGAACAGCTTCGCCTACAGCTTTCCAAGCTGGATTGCCCAATAATGGACCAGCATAATATCTATTGAATTTCTATTCAAAGGAGTTTAATTATTTATTATCTGTCTATGGTCCATCAGACAATTTCTGTGGTCCATTGGACAATTTCACCGAAACAAAAGTGACAACGTCACAGACGCTTTTCTCCACAGCAATGGTCCAATTTATTTCCATTTTTCAAAAAAAAAAAAGAAAGAATAGATACACTCTGCCAATTGGCTGAGACAGTGTTTTTTTTTTTTTTTTTGTGAACAGAACCTCTCAGTTCTGGCTCCTACCATTCTGGGGAGCTACAGTCCGGTTCCTATTCCTCCGGCAAGTCAAAATGGAATACATGAGAGACTCACGCACGCTCCTCCCCATTATGGCTGGGAGGTCCGAGTGGACGGCATTGATTACTTCCCTGAGGAAGGATGTACCGCCCCTCACCCCTGCCTACCTTAGCCTGTGCAAAATCTGCCTGGCTGTTGCCAATCCATCTGACCCCAGTCCTGCTCCTCTCAGCTGTGATTCTGTCGGATAGGTGTGTAACGCTAGAGCGGTCTGGAAACATACGAGTCTTTTGGACTCTCAAACACTCTGAACCCTACTTGCGATGTTTTCTTTCTAAAACCCTAGACCCTCAGTTGCAAGGCTGTCTTGATTTACCAGTTCCTAGTCCTCAAGAAGTAAACCATGTCCTGTTCCTAAGCCCTAACCCTGAACCCTCATCCTATCTCTTTTAATCTCTCCCACCCTAAGCTGGCCTATATCTACTGTTTCTTGATCCTATGTTTATTATATATAATTTATATAGATGAATTTAATAATATTAATATCCTATCAGCTGGGGCTTCTGTCTGGGACTGGTAACCAAGGAATTGATATGGTCTGATTCTATAAGGCTATACCCGATTATGGAAAGTAGGGCACCTAAGTAGTTCTAACCTCCCTCTCTTTCGTTCTTGGGTTGTCGGGTCCTTCAACGCTTATCTGTGGTGCCATTTCTGCCCCTTGCCTTCCCCTAAACCCTAAACCCTAAGCTATCCTGATCGTCTGATATCCAAAATTTACTATTTTACTTCCCCTGGCGGGGGCTATCCCTTGCGCTTTTTGGCCCTACTTGTTGCTCATGCTTGGTCTGTGTTGTACTTGTAACCCAAACTTAACAAGGTTGGGAAAGCCTCCGACTTGGTCCCTGGTTCTTGTATCGTCCCAGGCATTCCTTGCTTGGCTGGCTGGGGATTAGACTTGGATTGTCCGACTGGATGAGTGAGGTCGGGCTGTGCAGTGTTAATGTGGGGTGCGCTATGTTAGGACTATGGGGACTCTATCCTGAGTTCAATGCAAAGTTTGTGAGGTGCTATCTGCTTCTTGGCGTCTCTGCAATGTGTGGTTGAGCTTGGCCGCAACCTCTCCACTGCCCAAACCTAATACAGTCTTTTTCTATTGTCGTGATTTTCCCGTCTCCTAGTTGTTTTTTCTTGAAGTCTTCGATGATTTTGTCTTTGTTTTTTATATTTTGCTTGATTTTTTTGTAGGTTCTTTTCCAGCGTCCTCTGTTCTCTGTCTCTATTAGCTGCAGTGATCCTTCCCAAGCTTCTTGGGCCGCCATCGGCGAGTTGTCGATGGTCTCTTGACATCTGCGCTTCCAGATTGACCACAGTGTGGCCAGTCTCAAAATGTGGTAGAGCGACAGTTCAAAACTTTGCCAAGTAGTAGGTGTGTGAAGTCCTAGGAGCACGGTGGCTGGATCTTTTGGTAGAGTTTTGTCCGTGATTGAATTCCACAGTTCAGTTGCTCTTGTCCATAGTTGCATTGCCTTGGGACAGGTTAAGAGGCAGTGGTTCACATTTTCTACTGTCTTTTCCTGGCAAATGACACATAGTTCTTGTGTTGGTGATCTTGTTTGTAGGCTGCGTCTTTTGTTTAGCCATTGATTGACTGGTATTGCCAAGTACGCTAACTGCCATTGGAAGCTTCTTATCCTAGTTGAAGTGATGGCCAGAAGTTTTTCCCATGATCTGATCTGAGATCTGCTTTGGGGTAGGTTGAGGTGTTTCCCATCTCCGGCTGATGACCTGCGCTACTGGGTGAGATCTCATCCTTAGTGTGTATCCTAATTTGGTGGTATACTCTAAGATATTAGTTCTTTTTTCTATTGCGAGTCTTCCTGTTCTTCGTTTCCATGCCCATTCAGCTGGGTCAAATTCTAAGTCTTGTATGCATGTTGTGGGGCTGAAGATTCTGAGCTTATCGTTTTCCACCACCCTAACCTTCCGTGCTGTGTTCTTTGGGAGCGCTATCTCCCCTGTTGGGCTCTTGCTTAATAGGCTTGTGGTAGCGCCAGGGTCCTCGATCGTGTACATGTCACAGATGAGCCAGTTGTTCCTGGGACCTTCCCTTGAATGTATTAGGTAGGCCGTGTTTGGGGAGGTGTCCTCTGTGTTTGTTAACCACTCCCCAGGTGACCATTTGAAGGGGTTTTTTAGGAGGGTTAACCAATTGTCTGGGATTGAGATTAGGATGTGATTGAGGTTGTCCTGTACATTATGGCATCCTTTCAAGAATTGTCTCAGTTCCCCCGCTGTTTCCATCTTCCTTCCGATTGAGCCCAGAGATGCTTGATTTGCCATATTCCTTTTTCTACCCATGACTTCCACTTAAGGTCAGTTGTTGTGAGTGTCCACGGTTTGCCCTGGGGACCTAGGATCCGCTGGTTTCAGAATATGGGTTGACGGAGAACTTCCTCCTTGGACTTTGGCTCCCTTACCTTTGCTGGGAATATTTCCCTCCAGGTTACTATAAGATTTTTCCAAAAATCCCGGGTGTGCCCCCACGTCTGCCCCAAGATTTCTGCTGGTGGATTCCATGGACCAAGATTTTGACATTACCCAAAACAGACCTCTCATATTATTGGGCGTTTTGACCTTTGTGAGCTGGTTAATTCTTCGGAGGCCCAGCTCGATCCAGGGGAGGTTGTTATTTGTTAATTTTTTTAAAATCCATTTAGTCTGTAACACTTTTATTTGGATCTCTGGGTCGAGCACTCTGAGGCCACCTTTTGCTCTCGGTTGGGTGACATACTTCCAAGCCACTTTGGAGATGAAGTGGGGTTTAGAAGGGTCCCCTGTCCACAGATATGCAGTTGCGTTCCTCCGCAGTTGCAATCTCACCTATTTGATAGGTGTCCAAATAGTTGAGGCATACCATAGCATTGAGAAGATGGAGGCGTTTAGGATTAGAGCTCTCCCGAAGATTGAAGTATACACTCTGGACCAGCTGCCCAATTTGGCTGTAATTTTGCTCATGATGGCTGGGGTCATTGGGTGGTTTGGGCCTGATTTGGAGACTTGGATTCCCAAAAATCTCAGGGGCTCGTTGCCTTTAGCCCAACTCATTCCTTCCAGTGTATTTTGGGGGGTATTGACTTGGGGGTCTGTTAGCCACCATCCTATAGTTTTGGACCAGTTAATTTTCATTTCGGAGGCAATTTGTCTTGCATTGCCCTGGTTAGCGCTTCGAACGAGGAGTCAGAAGCCCTTATCAGGACAGTCAAGTCATCCGCGAAGAGGATTGTGGTTGGGACGTATGGTGAGTGATGGTTATCCTCCAATAGTCTTTCTATTGAGGGGTCTTTCCTTAGGAAGGACGCAATGGCGTCCATGATGAACAGGAAAATGGGGGCTGCTAACGGGTCCCCTTGGCGTACCGAGCGTGACATTCGGTAAGGTTGTGATATGTGGCCATTGACTTGGACTCTTCCATGGGCCTGAGCATAGAGGATCTTCACCCACTTCCTGAAGTTGGGGCCCACTCCCATTTTTTCCATGCTTTGCTGTAGGAAATTCCAATTCACTTGATCGTAGGCTTTCTCGAAATCGAAGAACAAGATGGCGACATTCATCCTTTTGTCCTGTATGTATCTGACAGTTTCTGTTAGGGTCATTACATTGTCTAGTATGAACCGTCCTGGAATGAAGCCGGTTTGGTCCAGATGGAAGCAATTCCTTGTTATTGTTCTTATTCTGTTAGCTAACAGTTTCGCTAGGATTTTATATGTCACGGTGAGTAGGGATATTGGTCTATAGTTCCTTATGTCCGTTGGGTTTCCTTTCTTATATAGGAGGGAAACGACTCTTGTACTTAGTTGTTTCCCCAATGTGTCTTTCTCCCAGGCTTTCCCGAGGAATTGGAAGAATTCTGAGCCCAACACTGGCCAGAATGCTAACCAAAATTCCTTGGACAGGCCATCGATTCCAGGTGTTTTGTTGGGCTTCATGGACTGCAAGGCTTCGAATAGTTCTTGTTCTGTGATTGGGGTGTCCAGAGTTGTGGCCTGTTCCGTTGTGATTGCTTTATCGAGGTACGTGAGAAATTTGTTTTTGGTAGAGGTTCTTGAAGAAAGTTGTTGTCGTTGTCAGCATTAACTATGGATCTGAAGAAAGACCCTGGTCAGTTTGTAGTTGGTCGATGCTTGCGTTGCTGGCATTGGATTAATTTTGTGAAAGAAGTATTTGGCCATTCTTTCTCCTTCCTCCCATTCTTTCACCCTTGCTTGCATTCTCAGACCTTTGTTCCTCCACTCTTCCCATTCGGCCATTTCGTGCCTGGCTTGCTCCAGTGCTCTCTTGTAAAGGGAAGAACCTGGGTGGGACATGAGGTTGCTTTCTGCTAGTTTTATGGTATGTTGAAGCTCATCTTCCCTTAGTTTTCTTTTACTAGCTATTATCCTTGATGCTTTTGATGTGGCTTCGGATAGTGTTGTGACCAGCTCAGGGAAGTTTAGGTTGGTGAGGTCGTGGTCCATACATGTTCTTAGCACTGCCTCCCTAATTTCAGGTGTGTTGAGGATCGAGTTGTTAATTAAAAAAAAACTCTTCCCTCTACCCG